AAATTGCCAATCTGCCATGCACCCATATGCATATCTGTCCCTTAGTAAATAGAAAGGGCTAGAAGTATAAGTTTGTTCTTTGTGTCATCTAGAAACATTCAATGATCCTTCACTCTTCCAAAACCTGACAAGTTTAGCAGAGGATGAAAATGGGGGGGAAATATTCATGAAAGAATTTCTATCGTTTTGAAGTGTGGTATAAAAATTAAGGTGTCCCTATAGGATCTCGGGTGAGGGATCTCACGTTCTAGAGGAAAGGAAGTTTCACAATGAACAATTCAGTTTCTAATTTTTGCTCTTACTTTTCATGTCCTAACTTTCCCCAGCATATTTCTTGGTGATTATTTTTGGAAACTATGTGATACATTTTTAGGAAAAAGAAATTCTCTAATGTAATTCTTTACCTTCATTTATCTACATTTGCATCTTAACTCTTGAAGAATCAAGCTTTGGTCCTTCTGGAAGTCTTGAGGCCTGCTCCAGAGAGTTTTCATGGCTTAAAGGGGTAATAGAAATCTTTTAAAAATTGGCTTATGCCAAGTCCTTAAGCTGTAATTTTTAGTTTTCAGACCTCACCAAATTACACCAGTATTGTTTAAATCTTTGAATTTCCCCCTTATCTTTTGCTTTTAAAATACAAAGTTTTCTGTGGATTTTGTACTTCACTTTTTAGCTTTATTTTCCTCTTGCATCCCAGAGTTCTGTTCTTGTTTATTTCACTGCAGAGTGGTTACTGCTTATGATGATTTCAGAAAGGATGATTGGAAGGTTAAGATCCAGAGCAAACATTAAAAAGGGGAAAAACCCTACATTTGTCCAAATCTGGCTCCTAATATATTTAACCAGTTCTAGAATTAGAAGGCCTTTCTGTACATTTTCTTCTATTTTCTCACTCCCCCCCCCCTTATGTAATGAAATTAAAACTTTTGGAGCCCACAGTTGACATTTTTCAGAAAATTGAGTTATCAAGGCAGTAATTATTTCACGGGGAGATAAAACTCTCATAGCCCTAACTGTCAAATAGGGCCCTTTTCAGATTTTAATTACAAAATAAAATTAGTCTGCTCTTCCTCGGAATGGTTTGTGAGTGGTTAAACAGAGCTTTCCCCAATACTGGTGGTCGTCAAACTCTGCTAATTAGCAAGGCTGAGAAATTCCAGTTAACAAGGACATTCTCCAAGACTCTGCAGGTTCCCTGCCGTTCGCCTTCATTTCCATAAGAAGATTAAGAGAGGAGGGGAACACACTCAAATGCAGATGCAAAAAAGAAGCGTTTTTTAACAAGCATCATAATAGTAGAGATGCTTGGCTAGTTCTCACCTAATTACTGCAAGTTAAACCTCTATTTGCCACTAAGAAGAAAAAATAAGTCTACAATCCCCTATCTGCACAAAATTGTTGGCTTCAGATATAATACTTGAGGAGGAATAGGAAGAGTTTAGGAGACAAAAACCAATGTGAAAGATTTTTAAATAAAATTAAGTTATATTTAGCAGCTAAGACTTTTTGGTATGGGCAATAGTAAAACAAAATAAAATCAGAATATTCCAGGAAGAGGCATTTTTGTTTCTAATTATGAATAGCATTCTATAAGTGTGTAGCTTTTTGCTGCCACGCAAGGGAAGTGTTACATTTTCTTTAGATTAAGCATGTTCAATTTTCATAAATTGTGCCAATGGCAACATTTTAAATTCTCAGAGGATGAAGCACCTTGATCCAACTCTTTTTTTAATTGTCTAGAGTCAGTAATGTATTGTTGGTAGTACTGTTAGCCATCCATTATAAACCTTAAACAGGGTCACCTCTGTCATCTGTTCAGATGGTTATAGTTATTATTATATTTAGGGGGCAGTGATTTGCTGGATTGAAATCGAGTGACTGGTGATTTGATTTTTTTTAATGCATATGTTCTTTTAAAAAACCTAATGAAAAAACTGTTTCTGCTATCACTATCTTTAATCTTATTTTCATGGCACATTATGAAAAACACCAGCCACAGTTAGTTGCCTCGATAAGTACAGCAAGCTTAATTAAAATAAAGCTGTAAATAAATGCAATCAATGATAACACAATTGTGATGTATTTCCATAGCTTATTTATATGATAAAAGCAATTAACAAAGGACCTAGTCAGCCCCTTTACCCTCTTAAATGCATTATTACGGAGTTCACTCAATGACACGTGCATCTGAGAATTTGTGAATGTTTTTATAAATCATTACAAGGAAAAGTTGGCCCCTCTTACTGCTACCCTTTGAGAAAGACAGTGAGATTTAAAAGATTTGCTTCTATAACACCCATTATTAATATTTATTTTAATAAACATACACCACCATTATCCACACCAACCTCTTGGAGGTTTTTACTTCAAACTTAATTATCCATAGGCTTTTTAAAGTTTCAGAATAATGCTATTAAGCGAGACCAACGCATACACTATCATAAAGTGAATGCTTGGTCTGCCCTTCGTGGCTCATGGACAATCATAATTCATTCATATGTTCAATCTCATAATTTGTACCTATTTTTTCCCGTGGTTTAACCTCCCACTTATGTCGGGGTTGTATGTACATTTCTAAGTTAAGCAAATTAAATTTGATTCTTATGATTTGGTTGCACAGCTTATATGATATGTTAACTTTTCTTTTGTTTAGATTATGTGTAATTAGTTTGATCTTCCATCCCCCTCATTTTTTTTTAACTTTAATTATTTCCACACACCTTCTTTTAAAGGTAACGCAATAGTCTTGGAAACGCGAATCTACCAGCAGGGGGCGCAACCGCCACATCCCTGAAACAAGCCGCGCTGAAAAGTCGGTGGCCGCCTTTTCTGCAGCTTCTCCCTACCTTTTCTCTAATCTCCCGAGATCCGTGTTTAGATTAATATTACACCTCGATTAAGCAGAAAACATGGCTTTATTTTGAAAAGTACAGAATATATTCGCGTTTCCAGAAGACCGGGCTCACCTTTCCCGAGATCCCAAGAACTAAAACAAGCCCTAACTTAAGAGAAAAAGGAGAAGCTGCAGGAGGAAGGGAAGATTGGCTGGGAATAATTTATTAAGAAAAGCCTGTAAGATTCTTTTTCACAACTTTTCTGGCTGTTCAATGGGCATACTTAGCTTGAGGGTGACATTAACAGACAGGCTGGGGGGACAGGAATTGGAGAAGATGGGGGTGATTATGGGAAGAAGGCTAACAAGAAACAAAGCAATGCAGTTGTTGGTAAGATAATAAATGGAACGTGGCCGGTAGCTACTATTCACATTTTCTTAGGGTGAGTAGGGTAGATCAGGGGCGCGGGGGGTGCGGAGAGAGTGTTACAGAAGAAAGAAAATAAGCAACCCTGATGGTTTAAGCCCTTTATAAAAAAGAAATGGAATCAGTTTTTTTTTTTTCCTTGTCTCCCCCCCCCCTTTGTAGTCAAGTGCATTTTAGCCACAAAGATCCCAACAAGAGAGTGGAAGGAAACTTAGACGGGGCTTTGTTTGACTCCGTGTAGCGACAACAAGAGAAACAAAACTACCTATTTGTAACGGACGTGGTGCCATTGCTCTGCGCTTTGAGCGCCTACCTATTGAAATCTTTACGTCGGGACAATGGGAGAGCGGCTAAAATTACCCTCTTGGGTCCTGGGCGGGCAAGATTCCTGAGCCCCTACCCCGCCCCCTCCCATGCGCCACCAGCCTGGGCCTGGCTGGGCTCAGGGCTTCCCCAGGCCCGCCGGCTTGCTTCCTGCGTGTGCTTCTGCACCTGTGCCTGGCCTGCACCCCCACCCCTGCCAGGCCCAAAGCCGGGGTCGCCCCGCAGCCTCTGACTCGCGCGGCCCGGGCCTTGCTGCCACCACCGTACAAGTCAGCGGGGGAAATGCCAGGGCTGGTTCTGCTCGAATCCTGGGAACTCTGCGTGGGAGGGAGTTTGTGAGTGCGGCCCAAAGGCCATCTCCATACGGAGGGTCATGGGATGCCAGGAAGCTGCAGTTACCCTCCCCCATCGCCTGCACTTTTGGGCGTCCTTCTGTTCAGCTCTGGCTTCCCCCAGCCCCCATTGGAAACTTGCACTGCTGAAATCCTTTTTGGGGAGGTTTAGGAGGAGAATGGGGAGAGGAGAAAGAGAGCACAAGGAAGGCCTTTGCACCAACGAGTGATGACAGACTGGTGGGAGATGTGGTACTAGCGCACACTGTGGTGTCCTGGGCCAAACAGCTTAGATGGGTCGGGGGGGGGGGGGGGGGGGAGGGGAGAAAGCATCTGAGCAGGCCCTGTCCGCCCTCAGCTCTGGAGTCGGCCGCATGGTCAGAGCAGGCTTCACTTTTAGGAACAGAGCAAATAACGTGGAAGACAGGAAAGTATTGAAGCCAGAGATTTTAGTCCAACTTCTTGTCGGGACAGTGTAGGAAGAGGTGAGTGGGTGCTGGCACCAGTAGAGGAAGAGGGGCCAGGGGAAGGACATGGTAAGGGAAGAAGCCCTAGAGGGATTGGAATCGGGAGAAGAGCTGCGGATGAGCGGGAGGACAATGACACACCAACTCCTGCACTGCCTGTTTCCTGAAATACTCGTTGGACAGTCACCCCGAACCACCCGTTCTGCCCTGCCCACCCCCCACACACACCTCAACTTCCCGCGCCCCGTCCTCAATTCAGTACCCTGCACCAAAACGTAAATCAATATTAAGTTTAAAGGGGGGGAGAAACACGTAGTCTTAGTGCTGTTTACCCACTTCCTTCGAAAAGACGTGTGGTGTGACCTGTTGCTGCGAGAGGGGATACAAAGGTTTCTCAGTGGCTGGCAGGCAGGCTGTGGGAGCCGCCTCCCCCTCCCCTCCTCCCCTCCTCCCCCCCGGATCCCCCCGCCTCCCCCGCGCGGCCGGCGGCGCGGCAGGCCCCGCCCCCTTTCATGCAAAACCCAGCGGCGAGGCTGGGCTCGAGTGGAGGAGCCGCTGCGCGCTGATTGGTCGCTAGAAACCCATTTATTCCCTGACAGCCCCCGTCACATGGATGGTTGTCTATTAACTTGTTCAAAAAAGTATCAGGAGTTGTCAAGGCAGAGAAGAGAGTGTTTGCAAAAGGGGGAAAGTAGTTTGCTGCCTCTTTAAGACTAGGACTGAGAGAAAGAAGAGGAGAGAGAAAGGAGAGAAGTTTGAGCCCCAGGCTTAAGCCTTTCCAAAAAATAATAATAACAATCATCGGCGGCGGCTGGATCGGCCAGAGGAGGAGGGTAGCGCTTTTTTTTTTTTTTTTTTTGATCCTGATTCCAGTTTGCTTCGCGCTCTCTCTCTCTCCCTCTCTCTCTTTTTTCCCCCTCCAAATTATTCTTCGCCTGATTTTTCTCGAGGAGCCCTGCGCTCCCGACACCCCCGCCCGCCTCCCCTCCTCCTTTCCCCCCCGCCCGTGGGCCCCCCAAAGTCCCGGCCGGGCCGAGGGTCGGCGGCCGCCGGCGGGCCGGGCCCGCGCACAGCGCCCGCATGTACAACATGATGGAGACGGAGCTGAAGCCGCCGGGCCCGCAGCAAACTTCGGGGGGCGGCGGCGGAGGCGGCGGCAACTCCACCGCGGCGGCGGCGGGCGGCAACCAGAAAAACAGCCCGGACCGCGTCAAGAGGCCCATGAACGCCTTCATGGTGTGGTCCCGAGGGCAGCGGCGCAAGATGGCCCAGGAGAACCCCAAGATGCACAACTCGGAGATCAGCAAGCGCCTGGGGGCCGAGTGGAAACTTTTGTCGGAAACGGAGAAGCGGCCGTTCATCGACGAGGCCAAGCGGCTGCGAGCGCTGCACATGAAGGAGCACCCGGATTATAAATACCGGCCGCGGCGGAAAACCAAGACGCTCATGAAGAAGGATAAGTACACGCTGCCCGGAGGGCTGCTGGCCCCCGGCGGCAACAGCATGGCGAGCGGGGTCGGGGTGGGCGCCGGCCTGGGCGCGGGCGTGAATCAGCGCATGGACAGTTACGCGCACATGAACGGCTGGAGCAACGGCAGCTACAGCATGATGCAGGACCAGCTGGGCTACCCGCAGCACCCGGGCCTCAACGCGCACGGCGCCGCTCAGATGCAGCCCATGCACCGCTACGACGTGAGCGCCCTGCAGTACAACTCCATGACCAGCTCCCAGACCTACATGAACGGCTCGCCCACCTACAGCATGTCCTACTCGCAGCAGGGCACCCCTGGCATGGCGCTCGGCTCCATGGGTTCGGTGGTCAAGTCCGAGGCCAGCTCCAGCCCCCCCGTGGTTACCTCTTCCTCCCACTCCAGGGCGCCCTGCCAGGCCGGGGACCTCCGGGACATGATCAGCATGTACCTCCCCGGCGCCGAGGTGCCGGAGCCCGCCGCCCCCAGCAGACTTCACATGTCCCAGCACTACCAGAGCGGCCCGGTGCCCGGCACGGCCATTAATGGCACACTGCCCCTCTCGCACATGTGAGGGCCGGACAGCGAACTGGAGGGGGAAGAAATTTTCAAAGAAAAACAAGGGAAATGGGAGGGGTGCAAAAGAGGAGAGTTAAGAAACAGCATGGAGAAAAACCTGATAAAGCTCAAAAGGAAAAAAAGTCTCATCACCCATAGCAAATGACAGCTGCAAAGGAGAACACCAATCCCATCCAAACTCACTCAAAAACCGCGATGCCGACGAGAAAACTTTTATGAGAGATCCGGGACTTCTTTTTGGGGGACTATTTTTGTACAGAGAAAACTGGGGGAGTGGGTGGGGAGGGCTGGGGAGTGGACCTTGTATAGATCCGGAGGAAAGAAAACTACGCAAAACTTTTTAAAAAGTTCTAGTGGTACGTAGGAGCTTGGCAGGAAGTTTGCAAAAGTCTTTACAATAATATTTAGAGCTAGTCTCCAAGCGACGAAAAAAATGTTTTAATATTTGCAAGCAACTTTTGTACAGTATTTATCGAGATAAACATGGCAGTCAAAATGTCCATTGTTTATAAGCTGAGAATTTGCCAATATTTTTCAAGGAGAGGCTTCTTGCTGAATTTTAATCCGGCAGCTGAAATTCAGGACAGTTGCAAACGTGGAAAGAAGAAAATTAGTCAGATTTGGACATTTTAATTGTTGGAAAAATTGTACAAAAGGAAACATTAGAATAAGTACTGGCAAAACCAAATCCGTGGTCTTGTTCAAAAGGTCAAAAAAGTTTTAGATTGTACTAAAATTTTTTAACTTACTGTTAAAAAGCAAAAAAAAAAAAAAAATGGCCATGCAGGTTGACATCGTTGGTAATTTATAATAGCTTTTGTTCAATCCCACCTTTCCATTTTGTTCAGATAAAGAAAAAACATGAAATTACTGTGTTTGAAATATTTTCTTATGGTTTGTAATATTTCTGTAAATTTATTGTGATATTTTAAGGTTCCCCCCCCCTTTATTTTCCGTAGCTGTATTTTAAAAGATTCGGCTCTGTATTATTCCAATCAGTCTGCCGAGAATCCGTGTATATATTTGAACTAATACCATCCTTATAACAGGTACATTTTCAACTTAAGTTTTTACTCCATTATGCACAGTTTGAGATAAATAAATTTTTGAAATATGGACACTGAAAGTATGCTTGAGTCTTTCATTTATTTGGATAACAATTGATTATACATAACTTCTCGGGGGAATTATAATACTGTCTTCAGCCACGAAAGCAAAAAACAAAAACCTTGGTATAGCCAGCAACATGTGCTAATATTTATTAACTGCAAAAAGAGAGATGGCTGGCTGATTACTAAGTACTCTGGAAAAATTGAAATACTTATGTCATTTCTAAAATAGAAACTAGAGCCATATATTGTAAATCCACCCCCTCCTTTTCTAAGCACCATGAATAAGCATGATGGTGTCTTCTACTTAAACTGATTTGTGCCACTTGTTGCCAGAAAGGAGTCAATTCTAAAATTTTTCATGTAGCTTAGCAGATGGGGTATTGAGCCAAATCAGAACCAGGTTGGCTGGTTTTGTTTTCATTTTCTTCACAGCACAATGGCCCTTTGAAACCTGGTTATAGGGGAAAATGATGCTTCTTGTATCGGAATAATTGCAAAGTAGACTTGCAAAGTGTTCATCTGCTGGGTGGGTGTTTGGATGGCTCTGGCCCTGCTATTGTCTAAGAGGAAACAAGTGGTTTGCTTTCTTTGTTTCTTGACTTCATAAACTTTCTCCTCTACATTTTCCTGTTTAGGGGCAAGGGAAAGCAAAGACCGTCTTGCAAAATTCCCCGACTTATCACGGATGTAGTTTTTTTTTTTCTTTCTTTCTTTCTTTTTTGTTTTGTTTTTTTTTTTTTTTTCCTTTTCTCTCCTTCCCCGAATTCCGTTTCTTAAATTGGCAACGCGGGTCCAAGCCTGTAGCCCCAAATCGGATAATCTCTGCAGCTGATAACAAGCAAAAGAGAAGCCAGGCAACAACCATATTAAAGAAGAAAACAATCAACTCTGAGGTAGATATTTTACTTTGTCCGGTCTAATCACATTTAGAGACGATTATGCTTTTCATCTGTTAACTGTTTTTACTACAGTAGTAGAGACGTGGGGGAGGGGAAAGGGGTGGAGAAACAAGATCGGATTTGTTGTTTCTTTTGCCCTTGGAAAGATAAAGAAAAGCTATAGCTGTCCTTTGTGGGCGCGGAAAGTTGGGGAAATCTCCATGGTTTTTGGATTAGCGATGCTTCTGCACCACCACGGGTCCGCGCTTTGGCGCAGCCGGAGAAACTGTAACCTAGTCAGGGATTTTTTTCTTCCTTTTTTTTCTTTTTTTAACTATTTGCTTTACTCATCTTCCCTCACCCAAGGGCACCAAAATCCAAGAGTCGGGTATCCTTATGAGTGCGGGTTTGTTTCGCACGATTTCTAGAACTTGCATCAACTTACTACAACTTTGCAGAAGTTGGGATCCGCCGCGCTCTCTTTCCTGAGTACAGACCCCGCCGCGACCACGAAGTTAGTTTAGCTCATCCCCCTGGCTGCACCTTGTCGCTTCCAAGAAAGTATTTCTTTCTGAGGTGTTGCAAATATTAGTTCCGGGGTGAACTAGGAATATCTCATTTGGGTATTTTTATTTATTATGGATGGCTTCGTTTTAAGTGTATATTGGTTTTTATTTCCTTCTTTTATCGTTTTTTAGGGGAATGTTGGGCTGGGAAGGGGCAGTTATTATTCCAGTTCCCCATCGAAGCTAGGCATTCCCCCCCCCTAATTAATGCAGAGACTAAAAGAATTTCCCCGGGCCTGGCTAGCCATTGTGATGCATATACGGATTATTCACGTGGTGATGAGCACATTCGCCAGTTCTTGCTCACACATACGAATAAAAGAAACTTTGAATAAAGATCCAAATGTTCGTGCTGAGGAATGGGGACGATATTCTTGGAGTTTAAGCCAATCAATAATACAGGATGTATATGCACTTGAAAAATAAACATGTATTAGAAATATCGATATATAGGAGTTTGTAGGTATTGCACTGTATTAACTTCCCAATTAAAAAAAGAAAAAAAAGCCCATGGATGAGAGTAAAAAGCAACATTTTCCCAAAAGGCTTAGGTCCCAATATTTTGCAAGAGGCAAGAGCACAGTATTTTGGGAAGTTGAACTATTTGAATGATTGTCACTCTGCATCAAACAAGAGAACTCTCATTACCCCTCCCATCCCTCCATATCTCCAAACCAAATACTTGGAAAGTAGAAGCCAAAGTATTTTATTTGCAAATATAAATGCTTTTGATAAACTGCATCTGAAGAAATTGAGGCATAGCTCTTTGCATCATTCGATTGAGTAAAATGGTTCCCCAAGATGTAAAATTTTGTGGCTAGATTAATATTAAGCATATGGTATTTTAACAATAATGTGATTTTAGAGGAGGGTAAACCCATAAACTTGCCTAGAGATGTTATCTGCTAGTGCTGAAGATAGCTGTTGAGTGTTTCATTCTTTTCCTTTGCTCAATGAAATTACTTAATTTTCAGTCAAAGGGGGTGAATCTAAACGTCTCTCTTTTTGCACAGAATAGAAATGTGCAAAAAGACGAGATTATAGTCAGATCTCTGTACAATTTTTTCTGTCCCTGCACCCACCCCCTCCATACTTTAAATAAAGAGCGTTAAAATATTTTTCTGAGCTGCAGTAGATTAGCAAGGTTTCTTTGCCAATACTGGGAAGCTGGTATTACAGACTGTCCCAGGGGAAAATGGCTCACATTAACCACTAAATGAATATTTGACAAGGGCTCAATCGGAGGTATTATTACTATAAACGTGTCCCTACTGGACTTTTCAAGGGTCAAAGAGCAATGCTTCAATTAATTATTTAGACTGCTAGTAGATTTGGTTGTAATAGCTGTACTTATTTCTGGAGACCGACACATTCTTACAGTAGGAAAACCTCAGGAGATTCTACCCCATCAGTAACATCTTAGATTGAAAAACACAAGGAGCCCTGCATGCTAAAGATGACTTTTTCATAAACCCCTTTTTTGGCCTGGGGGAGGGAATTACAGCCTTTCTGTTTCAAGGACTATTTTTGTTTTAAAATGAAAAAAAAAAAGGAACATAATAATTTATTTTAATTTCCATATCATGTCTGGCAAGTTATTTTAGAGACTTGCCATGTGGGGAAAAAAGAGGAAGGTATTTATTTACAACCTTTGCCTTTTCTAAGTAGCAGTGTCACAGGATTTCATACACCCAGGCAGGCCCTGAATTTAGGCAGGATGCACATTCCTGTTTGTCCCTAAAATGCAGTTTGAAATGAAAGGCTCAGTAAAATAAGGAGCAAGGTAGTCCTTCTACCCTCCCCACCTATTGGCCTAAGCACTGCAAGGTGCAGGGGTGGGGGGCGGGGGAAGGAGGTTGCATTTCTGCTGTGTCATAAGTTCCACCATGATCCTAGGTAAAATGGTAAGGGAACAATTTTCAGGGTAAGATTCCTTGACAACAATATAAATTGAATGAATAAGAGATAAGCTGGGGGGGGAGTAGTAATTACAAACCCAATTCATTCAGCTTTTCAGAACTTTTGTTGTGGAGATCCATTGACTATTTTGAGCTGCCAGTTTTCTCACATTAGAAGAAACTGATCAGCGCCTCAGGGGGACAGGAATACCGCTTAACTGCATAGTGATGGGGTCTTCATTTAGAACCATTACAAGGAGAAAATTAAATAGTGCCTTTGTGTGCACAGGTTTACTTTTCAACTGCTAACAGTTTATAGCTAACTACTCTGAGATTGAAGTTTGACTATGGTTTGATCGCCTGCTAGTTGACACTCCTTATTTATTTATTTATCTGTTGCAATTTCAAGAGCTTTCTACATACACACACACAACCTTCATTTCTTGCCTTTGGAGAGTTTTCAAAAATAGGTCCTCATATTTTACTTTGTGGAGGGATTTCCTTTGCCATGAGCTCATTTATCAAAGACTGGAATTTGTATCCTCACCGCCCCCCACACACTACCCATTACTGCTTTAAAATAATTTGAGGCCTGGTTTTTTTCTTCTTTATTTCCTTGCTCTCAGAGCTAAGACTCCATTTCTGGCTGTAACTGTTGGGGATAGGGGTTAACTTAATACTCTTTGCTTTCTTTTTTGACTTAACTTGGAAGGTGTCTGAATGGATATCCCTAGAGACCCTGTCTATGAGGTGGATCCCCTAAAGAAGGGAGAAGAGGGAGAAAGTCTGACCTTTACTGTAAGAATCTGCATAAAGTTCAAAGGGAGGGTCTCCAGTTAAGAAGCTGTGGACGGAGCCTTCCAAAGACAGGGAAATGTCCCAAACCAGAAAATTAGCTTGATGTATTTCATAGTTACTTCCTGTTAAAAAACTTTCCTGGAAACCTGACACCTGATAACCACCACTGGAGACTCGGGACCTCTTCTCTGCCTTCTGATCATGCTGTCCAGTTTTTCAATCCTTGTTTTTAGTTTGTAGATTTTGCTTCTGTGGCCTTTAGAAAATAATGGATTTGGCTTTTTTGTTTCGACTAAAGGGACTTCTCTTTGGAAGGGTGGAAGTCCTAAAATAAGTCAAAGATTTCTTACATCAAGGAGTTGTCTTTCTGTATGCAGGTCCTGATGGATTTTATTTTATATTTTGGGGTCACTGTAATATTGCTGATGTCTTGAGCGCTGTTCTCAGTTTCTCTCCAAAAGCAAATAGAACGTCCTTTCATTTTGGGACGCAAAGATTTTTGGTGCTTCTTGGCTTTTGGGCTAGAGATGTTTGTACTACTTTGCACATCAGTGTCTGGTGATTTACAAACTCGGGGAGTCATCCGTTTCATTACCCTGCCTGCCTGCGCAGAATGAAGGGACACTGTTTTGTAAAGACTTCGGCGTTTGAGCGATCTTTGGCCTCGCTCTCTCGGCCTCGGTGCGGGGCTGGGCTGTGAGCGCGCCGGCCTCCCGCCGGCTGCCCCAGGGAAGCGCGCTGTGCCCAGAGCCGAGCGGACGCGCGGGCAGCTGGAGGCCGCCGCTGACAGTCGCGGGGCCTGGGACCTGACGTCACCGTGGTCCTGGCCACGGCCCCCATGGGGCTCCCCAGGAAGGTTCTATGAGGGTCTCGA